ATACAGCATTTGTAATCATTGTTCTTGCCACGCCCAGGTTATGGCCAGATCAGATCCTCCCCCTCCCACTCCACAGCACAGGTCCTTTCCTGACCTTGCTGCAGCCAACCACTTCCCTCTGAAATCCCTTTGCTCCTTTCGCAGTAACCATGAGGCTTCCCTTCGGGGTCCTGAAGAGGGCACAGAGGACTCCCTGGCTCCCTTTGAGCCTGTCCTGTCTCCGAGGCCCGAAGCCATTCCAGGATGGGCTGTAGTAGGGGAGTGGGCTGGGAGATAGTCTGAAGCGGCTGGATTAGGGGTTCTTACAGACAGGCCCACCTTCCTCTCGTGATTGTCTGTTCTTCCCTTGGACCTCCTGGGCAGGCCCCTGTCTCTGCCTCCTATCTGGCTGTTTTTCCAGGCTCCCAGTTGTCCCCACTTATCCAGCAGCTTCTGCAGGTCTCTCTACTTCTTCGCATGTAATCCTCATTAGGGAACATTGGCCTGCCAGCTCTCTCCATTTTGGTGCTGAGAGTGGGCTTTGTTCCTCCAGTGCTTCCCCAAAGATCCTCTGGTGGCTGAAGCTCTCTCTCAGGACCTCCTGGTGGGGAGCACCTAGCAGGAGGCTGAGCAGCTGAAGTAACTCTCAGCTGAAATAACTCTCAGCTGAAGTAGCTCTCTGAAGCAACCAGCCATTCTGTGGTGGCTGCCTAGGGCCGCTCCTCCTTTTCCTCCAGGACAAGCTCGGGTATGTCAGCCTAAATGGCCCAATGGAACTGACCATGATCCTCATGCAGGTTTTTCTCCATGGAGAATTGATGCTGCTGTCTCTTGAAAGCTCAGCTGCAAAGATTAAGGGTCTACTGTCAATAGGTAAAAATGCAGCATCTGTTTCCCATTCAACTGCTGGTCCCTGGAGGGTGTGGACTTTGATGAAATAGTGCACCTGCACCAGCCCTTCACCTGCATCTCTGGGGCACAGGGGGAAGGGCAGTGTCTTGCCCATCGGGTCAGCTGAATTAGATGTAGAAGATTTCTCGCCTCTTCTTGAATTTTCTGGGACCTGATGCTTAGATCAGAGGTTGGCAAATTATGGCCAGTGGGCCGCATCTGCCCTGCCTCCTGTTTTTGTATGGCCCATGAGCTGAGAATAATTTTTACATTTTTAAATGGATGGAAAAAAACACCAAAAGAATATTCCATGACATGTGGAAATTATCTGAAATTCAAATCTCAGTGCTCATGCATTGAAACACAACCACACCCACTCATTTACAGACCGTGTCTACGGTTGCTTTTGTACCACAACTGCAGCACTGAGTAGTTGCCACAGAGACCTTATGGCCTTCAAAGCCTGAAATATTTACTCTCTGATCCTTCCCAGAAAAAGTTTGCCAACCTGTGGCTTAGATGGTGCAGGTGGAGGTGGATCTTCTGCTTGGGCTGAGGCCTCTGAGAAACACAACAGTGTTCCCATGAACAGAGAGCTTGTCCTCCTCTATAACCAGAAGGTGTGGTCTCACCATCACAGCTCAGCCTCCTATGCTAGGAAATCCTACAACCTCTTTCTTCTCCAGAAGCTCATGCTCCCATATCTCCAAGTATTGGAGTCCCAAGCATAAATTAAGACATCGAGGAGCATCCCATTTGGTTTATAGTACCAAATAGCATAAAAATAATACCTTAACTGCTTTGAAAAGAAAACAGATTTTAATGCCTTGTGTGTAAACATTTTTACTGTTTTGCATATATTTTATATTTGTAGAGTAATTCATGGTTTAAAATTTAACACAAAATGTTTTTTTGGTGAATGATGGATGAATATATTCATCAAGGAATATATTCAACAAGGAAACTACTTTGTTTCATAAAACCTCTTAAAGGGGATTTTAGATCTGTGGAAGGATATGTGAGTTCCTTAATCAATTTGTTGTGTAAACAGCGGGTATGCCCACATTTTTTTTTCCTTTTTAGAAAAGGCACTTTATTTTATTTTATTTATTTTTATTTTTTTTGAGACAGAGTCTTACTCTGTTGCCCAGGCTGGAGTGCAGTGGTGTTATCTAGGCTCACTGCAACCTCTGCCTCCCAGGTTCAAGTGATTCTCCTGGCTTAGCCTCCTGAGTAGCTGGGTCTACAGGTGCACACCACCATGCCTGGCTGACTTTTGTATTTTTGGTAGAGTTGGGGTTTTGCCATGTTGGCCAGGCTGGTCTCGAACTCCTGGCCTCAAGTGATCCACCCACCCACTGCTTTGGCCTCCCAAAGTGCTGGAATTACAGGCGTGAGCCACTGTGCCCAGCCTAGAAAAGGCATTTTATAGAAATAATTATATTTAAAGAATGAGATACCATTTTGTTATTGGGGGGGCAAAGGGAAAGCCTCCTCTTCATTTTCTGAAGGTTTGCTGAAAAATCAACTCACAAAAGGCAGATTACTTGGAGAAAATTGGTATAAATTTTATGAATGTGTACATGAGAGCCTTCAGAATGACCCAAAGATACAGGGGAAACTGCCCATTTTTATGCTTAGGTTCAACAAAGTATGGACAGCCAGGTAGACTGACAAAAAGGGCATGATCCAATGCCAATAGGCTGAGTGGGGAAACCCAGCAAGGCCTATCTGTTTAGATTCTTCTTGGCCTTGCTAAACGTGCATTCCTTCCTTCTGAGGATGAGGCAGGACCCTCTCTGGAATGGGGGTCTTATGACCTGCAGTCAAACGAGGTAGGGCAGATAGTTTCTTTATGGCCAGTTTTTACACAGAAAGGCGGAGGGAAAGTTAGAGTGATATCTTTAAGTTTTACGGCTGACTTTGGGGAAAAAGGCTTCTGACTTCCATGCCCTGCCTTGGGGCAGAGGGATTCTAGTGTCTGTGTCTAGCCTCAGGGGAGAATGGCACTAAGAGACAGGAAGGCAAGAGAAGATCAGAGAAATAAATTTTTCTTCTGAAGATGCTTGTGAGGCCTTCATTTTGGGGTATTGTTGACTGAGTCCCAACATTTATGATTTTACAAGATTTCCTGAACAGGAAGTGCTCCTTTTTCTCCAGTTCACAGTGTCACACTGGGCATCTATGGACTTGAGAATAACAGAATTGCCTTTGCTGCATAGATTTTCTTATGCACATTTGCTTCGTTGCGGTTAATCTTCACGTAGAGTCAAACAGTAGCATGTGGCTACACCTAGAAACTTGAAGCCAGAAGCAAAGTCCAGAGTGACAAAGGCAGAGATGAGAGACCTTGGAAAGAAAGCATTTGTGTGAAGGTGTGAGTGTGAGCTCATCTGTGCTTTTTGTTGGGGAGGCAAAGCGTTGGTAGGACTCAGAGATGCCCAGAGGGGTCAAAGGAGTGTGGACAGAGAGCAAGGGATGGAGGGAGAGATCAAGAGAAAAATCAGCAACTGAGTGGAGGAAGAGGGGGGACAGGTAGACCGGGAGAGGGAGCGGGAGCAGAGGAGAGGCAGGAATGAGGAGTGGAAGAGAGAGGGAAAAGGAGAGGGGATGTCCAGGAGCAGGATAATAGATTGAAAGAAGGATAAAGCCAGGAGCTCGGGTTAAGATAGGTAAGACGTGGTACTTTCATGGAAGTTTTTCCTGAATTTTACCTAGGTCCTGGGCACAGGGTGGGTAGGAGATGGATACAACAGGGGGGCTGTTCGAGGTCACCTTCTCCTTTTATGTTTTGCAACTCCTGTTCCTGAGAGGCAGCACCTGGATCCTTACCTGCGGATAAACCACTGGGATGTCTGGGTTCACTCTTCCCTCCTGCCCATTGTCGCCTGTACTACTCTCCACGCTCACTGAAGTCCAGTTTCCAGGGAGCCCCCCAATCCCTCAGTGTCTGCAGATACAGCCAACAACCAGCACTGCCAAGGGGCCACCTGGCCACACACCTCCTGCCCTCATCCTTTATTCAGCCAGGACACCCCATCGCCTCCTCCACAGGTGCCAGCTCTGCCCGAGGTTCTCTTTCCCTCTTGGGGTGACGGAGGCTGGCAGTGTGGAGTACCCTTCCCTTTAATTTTGGTTCTCACTTTTGAAGAACCCTGATCCTCCAGGATTGCGGGCATAGTAACTTCCTCCTGAGAAGAGCTGTTATTGGGGCAGTCCCTGCTTCAGAAGCAGCGAGGTCCGTTGCTGCTGAGCAGAGGCTGCCCCGGCCTTTGAACTGGCTTCCTTTCATCCTGGGCCCCGGTCCTCCCTTTTCCACCCCTTCCCATAGAACAATTTGCCTCCCAGTCCAAACAGCTGCGGCCCCCCAATGCACATTGCTGACCCCACAGCCCCCTCGCATTCCTCTGGCTCCAAGGCCAGGTTCCCTCCCTCCCTCTGTCCACAGGAGCAGGCAGTACTAAGGTTATGCTGTCCAAGGCCATTACTGGCTTAGAAGTGGGAGGTGTGTGGCCTTCAGAGACAGCTTTGAAATGGCTGTGGATCACTTGGCACTGATTTTGCACCTGAATAACTGAGAACCTTGTATGTGCCTCTTAGGGCAGCACTCAGAGCAAAATTTATCCATTCATTGACTCATTTATTCATCCGTGTAAAAAATATGTGTTGATGGTAAAAGGAATTTGAGGAGATATGGGCAAAACAAGGAAAAAAAAATGTGTTGAATGGCTAGTGCGTCCCAGCTACAATGCCATGCACATGTGCAATTGTGAGCAGACTGTCTTCAGCTAACTGCGCAGGAAGCCTCTACTTCCTACAGCCCAAGTCATCCCTTCCTTCATCCTTCCCCCTCCCTGCACAGCTCCCCTCATTATTCAGCTTTTCCCTCCCACCTTTACCTACAGACTCAGGGATGAGCCCCTTCGTCTTGGATTGATGCTTCATCAGCCTGGGTGGGGCAGCTGTAGGTGAAGTCTCAACATCTTACGAGGTCTGGACTCTGATCTTGCTGAGTTTCAGGATGCTGGCAGGTAAAGCAGCTGGGATCTGAGCAGTTACTAAGGCTTCCAGGAACGCAGTTCTGTGGGACCCACTCAATCTCAAACAAGGCGACAGGGAAAGCATGGCCGTCACTGAAGGGTGTGGTGATTCCATATGACAAATGAATAGACACTGCTTCCTGACCTCGGGGAGGTCTTCCTACCTGGGGAAACAGAAACACACACTCAGCAAGTGAGGGATTGTAACCATGTTATGTTGCCTCACCACATCCATCCAGGTGTCCCCATCATGGTGCCACCTCCATAGGGTTTGAGTTAAATGTACAGGAAGTGCAGGTTGCTGTCCACTGTCTAAAGTAGGCAGTGATACTCCCAAGACACCCACATCCTCCAGATGATTAGCCATCTGGTATACTGGTGGGGGTCTGTGTTTTCTTCATGACTGGTGTGGGCCCTGGCACCAGGAAGGATGGTAGCTGCTTTCATTGTGGCTGGACAACAATCAGTACATGTGGAGAAGGGGCACATGTCCCTGGTTATGTGGACAGTCTTCATTTGTGCCTGGGATTTTAATGTCTCTTCATGCTATCTGGTTTAGTATTTGTCCCACTCTTTTTCAAAGGTGTGGGTTTTGCATGATAATTGAGAAGGCCAGGGTATCTGTGAGCCCAGCGGGCGGGACTCAAGCTTGACTCACCTTGTCTGTTACTTCCTGGTTAAACAGTGTTTAGAATCCACCAACTTATTGCCTCCTCCAGAGACTTCTGCACCCATCCCACTGATTGTCTCTCCCGTTTTGTGCTGTTTGGTGCCTCTGGTTCCCAGAGCTCTCTGGATTTACCTGCTGTGTCACTTTTCACACAACTTGTCCCTGGCTGTTTGCTGGTCCTTCTTCTCCCATCTTGATGGGCTCCATCCTGTCTCTTATACACATCTAGATGTGTATAAGAGACAGCACACACAGAGTCTCTTTCTCTGTCTGGACGTACATATATTAGAGGTGTGTTGAGCTAATTCAGTTTTCCTTAATGCTGAATGGCCAAGCATCTATGTTTGGCTGTGATTGAGGCTGATGCTGAATCATTGAATGAAAATATATGACATTCTAACAAAAATAGGTATTGTTCTTATGTTATTTTTGTTTATTAGGATTCTTCACATTGTAAAGTTAAACTCTAAGTCAGAAACAGTCGTATCTGGACCTTGCCCACTGCTAGATACTCCTGTGCTTACCATGCTGCAATTTATGATACTAAATATAGACACTTGTTTGCAACTGAGTTTGGTGGAGGAATGAACTACATTGGTTTTGTTAATTCTGTCTGGATTGGTGATGATTTACTATAGATGTTATGGTGTGATATGGGTGGCTTTTTTCCCTTATGAATTTTTGAGGTGGCACAGTCGATAAAGTTGGCAATTAATTTGTCCTTATAAAGATATGAAGGATTCCAAATAAGACTTTTTCTTGAAAGATGCATAGTCTAAACAGAAACAGATAGAAAAATCTAAAATCCTAAAGGTTGTTTATTATTGTGAATGCCAGTATACCAAACAATTCCACAAAGACATGATTTATGATATATACTAATGATCTCTTTTATTCTGTTTTACAGTAGTATTTATGGTTCTGCACATATCTTGTCTCAGAAAGAAAATGACAGTCTTTGTAAAAGTAGCAAGCAAGTGTGTTGCCTCTTTTTTTTTTTTTTTTTTGTGACGGAGTCTCACACTGTCACCTGGGCTACAGTGCAGTGGCACAATCTCGGCCCGCTACAACATCCGTCTCCTGGGTTCACCTCGAGGTCTGGACTCTGATCTTGCTGAGTTTCAGGATGCTGGCAGGTAAAGCAGCTGGGATCTGAGCAGTTACCAAGGCTTCCAGGAACGCAGTTC